AATAGGTAGTTGTGTTAGAATTGCATGCGAAAGTTTCGATTTGAATAAATTTAGCTGACAGTAGTTGAAAATATATACAATTCATTCATTTAGTCAACTTGAAATTTATTTGACAGTAGACGGTAGAAAATATATACAATTTATTCATCTAGTCAACTTGAATGCAAAATAAGGCAAGGTATAAATGTTGTAAAGTTGAAAATGGAATGTTATTATTCATATAGTTTACGAAAAATATGTAAAGTGGTTTTAACAACGTATTGCAAGTTAGCTTTTATAAAAGAGAGAGATATGTTATATTTTTCCATATAAATATATAAGCATTAGAACATGATTTTTATTAATTATTATGGTTTTGCAGTTAAAGAGTAAAAAAAACGATAGATTTTTATATTTATAGAAACCGGCGAATAAAATATACTAAATATATATCAAAATCTTTGAATAAAAAATTGTATTTAATTAAGGTACCTACACATATATTTGAAAATTCTAAATTTTTAATCAAATACTATATTTATGAAAAACTCTATTCATAGTACAGTGTAACGTAAGTATATGTTTCAGCGTATAGTTGCTTTCGTGAATTGCGTTAAATCCGCTTACGTGTAAAATGTATCGTCGTCTTTCTCTTCTCTCTCTCTCTCTCTCTCTCTATCTCTGCGAATGTTGAAAAATTAAATCAGCGCTATTCCGAATTAGGTAAATACAGTGGCCATTCACTGTAGTCCAAACGCGCATTGGGATGTATTTTGTGCAACGCTTTACCGCCTTCGGAAGGTCTAAAAGCGAGCTTCCCTGTAATTCTCGCTGATCCAATTACAGTAACGCGGGGAATAAGTTAGTGCGCGCGGCGGCGGAGGTGGTACAAGTGTGCGATTTCTAAACAAAGCACGAAGCTGGAAGCGGCCGGTACTCCGTACCGTCCATTCTTAAACCGCATCGAGTCGACTAATTCGAAGTCAAATAAAAGAGTTCCCGGCAGTGTGCGTTTTGGCGAGGTAGCGCGATCCCTCTTTATATATTTTTAGTGTGCACACACCAAAGTTTTTCCCCCCACTCTAAATATTAGCTAAAGGTTAGGCGATTCGGTTTTTCTCCGCTCAATACCACCATATAGACGTATACGTCCTGCGATTTAGCAGCCAATAATCCTACATTTATCACGAACGAGTTTAGAAAAGAAAAGAATTGAGCAAATCGACCGCGCAAACACGCGTTTTTTCCCCACTTATTAGATAGCTTGCTAAATTGAAAATAACATTATCGAAATCTTCTGAAAGTTTAATCCTTAATTTCAATAATCAAGACGAAATTATATTTTCGCTAAAAATTCTTTTTGGAGATGAAAAAAAAAAAAGTATAAAAAATCTAAGACATAGCCTTTAAAATCGGTAAACAGGTTTTAAAATGGTCAGACTGTACTCATTTACTTTTCTTGTACAACATCAGATTACGAGTTTTGTTTTCGGACCACGTGTAAGTAACGCGCAATGTAACTTGTAAGCATGGCAAGTCCTGCATGCAAACAAATCGTGAGCTACATGTGCTGTGATCTTAGAACAAATAATGCGTGTATATTTATAAAACGATTATTAATGTGTTTTTTAAGAAAAAAATATTGTTTAATATTTATACTACAAAATCGCGAATATTACACTGGAGAATATCATCGAGCAATTAAAGTGTTCAATAAATCCACAGTCTGCTGCAAAATATCGAATAACAAAGCTCGCGTCATGTAGAATTTATGAAAATATTCGTAACAATGTAGGATGTTGCACATAGCGTGATTGGAAAAGCGTAAAATTCGCAACGCACATATTGTAACACTTGCACATATTACACCGAGCATTTGCCTGTAGCGTTCCCGCATTCCTCACCATCCTTTAGCATTTTATTTCATAAACAAATATCCATTGTTTTACATCATTTGCGGTATTAGTAACGAGTCTAACACGTTATCGTCGGCGATGTTATGTTACTTTTACTCCCTTGCATACGCGCGGGATGAAATTTAACCCGGGCACAATGAAAGACTCACGATGATCTCGTTTTTATTGCGACATCGCCATGTGTAACCCCCTGCGAGTTACGTGTATATGAATACACGTAAACTTCGACGTACGTATACGCGGCGGTCGTAAATCCTTATAAACTTTATACCTTCTTAATCCTCAAGAATTAAGGGGCATATGTCACCGCGAAGCGAATTGTAAAAAATTGTCGAAACCCCCTTTGCGCTCGCGCCCCCTACGTCGTCGTCCACCCCTACATCGGGGCCATTTCCTCTATGGTCACCCTTCTTCCTCGCATCTCGCGTCCCTGTTTCCATGGTGAACCTCTGTCCCTGTATTTTCGCGTCACATCCGTTTTTACGGGCTTCTGCATCCAAACGACAAGACAGACGAGACGATGTGCACGCGCGCGCATATTTTATATGCGGAATGCTCTAAGAAAAAAACTTTATCCGAATAATATAGTATCGTTTTCTCGCGTAATTTACATACGAATCGCCAAGGATAATTTGGCAGAATGTTCGGTTATTTTCGACATTAACAACGAAGAATGATTTGAATTAATTAACATATGTATAAATATAGATTGCGTTCTCTACATAGAATAAATACACGGCAAAATATGTTAAGAGCAATGTAAAGATACCGTATTACTATATCGTGATAAAGCAGTGCGTATCCATGTATTTAATATATATATTATATATATATATATAATTTTCACACGCATTCTGTTTACGCGGCTATATCATTTACGCCGGCCAATTATTCGACACTTTGGTCACGCTCGGGATACGACCTTTTAAACGAATAAATAATAACGCGAAATATGACAATTGCTCAATGTTACCGACGTTCCATCACAAGAATACGCGATAAGTCTACATTCGATTTCAAATGCGTGCTAAACAAGATAAATGTTAGTCACAAGCGAACATAATGGCTGAAAATTTACTCACCGGCCAGATTTGCCGTCATCATCGTTGTCTCGGCACCTTGATTCCACCGGATGATGCACACTCCGACACGGAGAAAGTCCACAAGAAAGTTTCCGATGACACTCTAATTAACTTCAATTGTCCGTCATTTCACCCACACGACACTCCCGTGTTATACGACACACGAAATACTTTGAACGAATAAATAACGCGAAATATTACATCACACAGTGCTGCCAATTCAAACGCCCGCAAGACTCGAGCTCAGGGAGAAAAACGCGCGTAAAACACGGACCGATCCGACGGCGTCTCAATTAACCTTAATCTCATCTGCTTTAATCACTTTATACGGCACTTCCATCACGCGTTCAACACACGTTAGACGAGCATATGCCGCGAAACATAATCATTCAATGCTGCCGATGTTCAGTCGCACATAAAACTCGAGCTCGATACGCGAAAAAAACGCGCGTAAAATACGGACCGATACGACATTATCGGAAGATTCGCACGAACTGTACTGTTGATCAAGAGACAGTGGTGTCTCGCGCCAAGTTCACGCAGCGACAGCGAGACACTCTGTGTATTCATACGCGAGTCGGCCGTTGAGATTTATAACTACGCGAGTCAAGGAGGTCAAGGACAAAACAAATAATGACCGACAATCTTCGATTATCGGAACATAATTATTGTCGCGTTTCCGAATTTAACATATTAGAACGAAAGTAGGTCTTCGTTTTATTATAAAATACTCTACTATTAATGTGAAATAATATCTATGTACAATACGATATTCATCTTTCTCGGCTTTCTCTCTCTCTCTCTCTATCGATATTTCACGTTCAATAGCAAATAATATTTATTCATTAATTTAAAATCGGATGTTATATCCTATAATTTTGATTTTAATAATTACTGCATTAATATTACAACGATTAGCCGATTCCGTTTTGCTCGCGATATACTTCTTCGCTATTATATCTGCGTCACAAGCGTCCCGTAAATGATCGCACGCGATATGTGTAGACGATATGTGGAAACGACTGAACATGTCGACTTTCTTTTTACACTCGCATATAAAATTCGGTTCCGAAATTCCGAGTTTATATTACGTGTCCGGATACTAATAAAAATCGTGAACAGTTAATTATAATTTTTATCACTAATTATTAATACAAACGCGATACAATTAATTAGATAATTAATTTATCACTCTTAATATAATATTATCTAAATAACGCGTTCGTATATGACACGAATAAAAACGACGTAAAGTTCGAACTAACCCTCGTGATGGTTAAGACGGTACTAAACGAGAAACTAAAAACGTAAGGATATCGTGTGCGTCGTAGGGAGGGGGATTCTCTCACTTTGTTTATAATACATAAGAACAAATACGACTCTTTATCTAGGTGTTTTGAAAAGCGAAGTAAGGAATGTTTGGTTGTGTTGTTTATAATACGTGATAGAGCGAACATGATTTTGAAGCGTTTCGTGTTTATCGCGTTTCTCAATTTTTTTCTAAGCTAAGAAACTCGCGTTTCAAAGCCACGGTTTTAGAACTCGGTAGAGAGAGAAAGAGAGAGAGTGAGATAGAGAGAAAGAAAGAGATAGATTTTCGAACGCAATATCTGTTGCTTCTGAGAAATGCTTTCTCTCTCTCTCTCTCCATCTCTCTCCGTTTCGTTCTTTCTTTAATAGGTTTCTATCTTATTTGGGATCGTACGATCATCTCGTTCTATTTATCTTATCGCTTATCTTGTTCAACCACCTCAGAAGTCATGTACGTCTCGCCGAGAACGAGAGATAAATGACACACAATAGGCCATAAATCTTGAAATTTTCCCACGCTCGCTCGAGAATCGGCGGACTCGATGTTTCTTGCTTCGCTAGTCAAAACATAGATAATCACACAATCGTACTCACTCTATTACATGTTATAAACAGAGTGGCTCGACTCGCTTCCCCCTCCTTGCGAGGCACACGATGTCCTTACGTTTTTAGTTTTTCGTTTAGTACCGTCTTGACTATCGCGAGGTTTAATTCGAATTTTACGTCGTTCTTATTCGTGTCATATACGAACGCGTTAGTCAAATAATGTTATATTAAGAGTGATGAATTAATTATCTAATTAATTGTATCGCGTGTGTATTAATAACTAGTGATAAAAATTATAATTAACTATTCACGATTTTTATTAGTATCCGGACACGTAAGATAAACTCGGAATTTCGGAATCGAATTTTCCGCGAGTGTAAAAAGAAAGTCGACATGTTCAGTCATCTCCATGTTCGTCTACAACATATTGCGTGCGATTATTTACGGGACGCTTATGCCGCAGATATAATAGTGAAGAAGTATATCGTGGACGTTAACGGAATCATTAATCGTTGTAATTAATGCTGTGACGGTTACAATCATAATTATATAGCATCATATCCGATTTAGAAATAATGAGAATAAATGTGTAGAAGTCATAGAAAATAAATATATTGAACGTGTAGTATCGACAGAGAAAGACAGAGAGTAGAGAAAAATATCGGGCGATGAGTATCGTATTGTGTACATAGATATTATCTCACATTGATAGTGGAATATATTACAATGAAACGGACGAATTATTTTCTAGTGTTAAATTCGAAAACAGGACAGTAATCGTATTTTGATAATCCAAAGTTGCCGGCCATTATTTGTTCTGTCCTTGACTCGCGTAGTTATAAGTCAACAGTATCAGCGCACTTCCGACAGTTCGGGCGAATCTTCCGACAATGTCACATCGGTCCGTAATTTACGCGTATTTTTCTCGTCGAGCTCTCGAGTCTTATATGCGACTGAACATCGGCAGCATTGAGTGATTATATTTCACGGCATATTTTGTGACGAGAGTGCCGGACAATAAATAAAGTGACGGACAATTAAGATTAATCGAGACACCGTCGGATCGGTCTGTATTTTGCGCGTGCTTTTCTCGTCGCGCTCGAGTCTTGCGGGCGTTTGAATTGGCAGCACTGTGTGATGTAATATTTCGCGTTATTTATTCGTTCAAAGTATTTCGTGTGTCGTATAACACGGGAGTGCCGTGTGGGTGAAATGACGGACAATGGAAGTGAATTAGAGTGTCATCGGAAACTTTCTTGTGGACTTTCTCCTTGTCGCAGCGTGCATCATCCGGTGGAATCAAGGTGCCGAGACGACGAAGATGATGGCAAATCTGTCCGGTGAGTAAATTTTTCAACCATTACGTTCGCGAATGACTAACATTTATCTTGTTTAGCACGCGTTTGAAATCGAATATAGACTTGTTGCGTATCTTTGTGTATATCGTCGCGCCGTATTAATTCGTGTTTTTTTTTTTTTTTTTTTTTTTTTTTTTTTTTTTTTTTTTTTTTTTTTTTTTTTGTCGATCGAATCCCGTACGCGATTGGATTTCGGTAAATGACAACAATTGCTCATTGAGCAGTCGTTATATTTCGTATTCGCTTATTTAATATACATACATCATGTATCGAACATGTAATCGGAGTGGCGAGCAGTTGGCCGGCGTAAATGATGATTATGTAAACAAGCCACGTATCAAAAGTTGGATACGCGAATGGGCACAGCCTTTGTCACGATATGGTGATACGATACAAGGATACGCAACAAGTTTGTATATGCCTTTACACTGTTCTTGGCGCGTTGTTATAAATAACTACAACGCAATTTATGCGTCTCTGAGATTCATACATATCTGATCTCATTGTTATTTCTCGCTCTCTGCTAATATAGATTTACAAGATTTTAAATTTTGCATTTTTCTGTTCCAAAATTCAGATTTTTCAATCATTTTAGAGTTTATAGTTTACTTGTATGTTTAAATTATATAACAAGTTAGATCGCGCAATACATTCTTTTTATTTTTTATGTATACTTTAGATGACACATGATTATATGCCTATAATTATAGAAAAATAAGATGCAAATCTAAGATTATAAATAATTATAAGATTATAAATAACTTTACGTATAATTTATTTAAGTGATTACATAGTTGATGCAGCATTTTAATTCAATGTTTTTTTTTTCGTATAAGTATGTATATTTTAATTTATTTTGTCTTATTGATAATCCCATACACAATTTATATTTTCTACACTAATTAAAGTTACGGCAAAACGTATTTGTCTTTGCAATGTTAGTAATAAATATATAACGTGACAATTTTGCAAGAGTAATATCTGCATGAATTATATTTATCGCTGAGGGATTAGATCGAACTTTCGAGACACGGGACAATTAATTACGGAGCGGAGACTACCGTTTTGATTATACGTGATTAATAAGTATTGCTCACTAATTTCCCATTTGCCGGATGTGTACCTTTAACTGGGACAACAGACGATACGCCCGTAATTAGGACACGAACCGGGCTTGGTTGTCCTGCCATATTTTACATTGTATTACGTCGGACTCGGCGCATCGCGTGTGTCGCTACCATGTAACACTATATAACCGTAGAAATGTCGCGGGGATGCAACATCCATTTCTCCATGGACAAATGTAATCCCGAGTTTATGCACCCGACATACGATTACATTTACGAACAAATTCTTACAAATATTACATATAATATGTCGTGATTACATAACGCGGATAAATTCGCAACAAAGTAGATACGTCTGAGTATTTCGCGGTTTTACCTTCGCGTTCATACACCCTTTATGCATCCTTCGAGGCGAAATTCGAGATATTTCGCAAACTTTACGCGTATATTTTGTAGCAACGCGTTTCTCACAATTTGGATTTTATCGTACATCTAATTATTTATTTTATTTTGTGCCGGGGGTGGCGGATAGAGGGGGGAGGAGGGGGCAGCGTGGCGTGTCTCATAGCTCGCGTTGCCTCGATGTATGCTCGGGCTTATTATTTTCGCTCGCCATGTCGGAAAAATGATCGTTACTACATCGCGCCGGCAACGGTAAATTACCAAGTATCGTTACGGTCGGAAAAGTTCATTGCGCCGTATAGCCTGGGTAAATATACTCGTCGCGCGATGAGCAAACACGAAAAAGAGTATTTTTTTGGAGATCAAAGGTTACGCGCAGCATTTCAACTAACCGAATCTCTTTAGTGTACGTGAAACGACACTTCAAACACGCGTTTACACAAGCCCGAGGCCCTTTAAAAAAATATGATGACACGCGCTTTGTAGACGCTTGAGCGAAGTACTGTTTTGAACGCATCTGCGATGCACCAGAAACGGCTGCTGATTTGTTTTCATAAAAGCCAAATGCACCGGGATTGCTCGGAATCGTTACTGTCACTCGCTTACCGGAAGAGTTATGATGTTGTTGACGTAACCGAATGGGCTTGCGAGGCGCTCGGAATTCTCGCGTACTCGGATTCGACATCAAAGTTCAGCTAAGTTTGTTCGCCATGTTATCTAACGAAGGTATTTGCATTCCAGGAATTTCAGTAATTATGCATACCTAATTAGCCATTGTGTCCCATCTTACGCTTACGCTATCTAGTATTTCGTGTGCGACATCTCGAACGTGCGTGTCTCGTGTTGAGCGTTCGAGGGACGATCAATTTATATGAGTAGAGTATGAGTACATCAAGATGCGAGGAAATATCATTAACATTATCGACTAATTATAAGTTTTAAGCAGTTACTAATATAAAAATTCCACAACTTATAATGTATTAGACTGAGTATATTATTTTTGTAGAAACTATAATGAATTAAAAAAATATATAAAGATTATATTATAATCTAGAAAAATATTGCAAAATTTTGTAATGCACAAAAAACCACGCGCATCGTCATTCACAATTCATAATTATACTCGCGAAAATCTCGCGCTTGAAGCATTGAAATCGTGAGAACTCTGAGATTTGTTTTTGCTGCTGATTAACAGCGTCGATCATATCGATATCGAATGCCAAAGTTTCGACTGTAGGTGTAGCCCGCCGGTGATCAGTCTCGCTCGAGCGAGTAATAACTTTCACCGCATTGGTATACCACGCGTGGCCACGTGACCCCGATCCTTCCCTGTGCCGCACTTCTCAGCACTTCCCCCATAATTCATCGACCATTTTATCGTGCCGACGAATATATATTCACGAAAATCCACGGTAATCGTCCCCTCGTAATTCCCATCACGACACTCGATCGAGAGAGACGTGGCGATCGACCGGACCCCTCGGCGCACTGATAGCACGCGGGGGGCTACATTGGGTGCAGCGAACCGAGCGTAGATTGGGATCCGGTTTCAGATTCGACCGGGATTTAGATCATTATCCGTCGACGGGACTTGGGAACACGTCGCCGCGTTGCACGGTGTGTTCTTTGACGCGCCGCAAATCCCCGCGCGAAACAATTAACCCTTTGCACAGGCGTCACCGCTCGCAGCGCGTGTACTTGGGTACGGAACGATACGCCAGCGAGATAGAACTTGATGTGCGAGTGGGAGTGTCGCATCTGCATTCGTTACACAATCCTTTGACAGCGAATGTTGCGCGCTTATATATTTTTCGCAGCGTCTCAAACGTATCGCATGCAACGCGTTTAAATAAGCGATGATAATTATGCAACTATTTTGTCACTATAATCTTTTTGTCTGATGTACAAAGTTGTAAAGTATGTTAAATAATTTGGTACCATACAATATTTTTTTGAAGGAAAAATTATTAGATTTTTGTTATTTTATAATTATTATTTAACGAATTATATACATACTCTAGCAAAATATTATTCTTTGTAGCGGCTTTATTTTGCAGCTTGCTTAGTGAATTTATATAAACATATCTGTATATATAATTTTAATTACGTAACTTATACTCTAGGATTTTGCGCAAGCAAAGCGCTTACTAAGCGCGAAGTGGCTTTCTGTTGTAAACGCTATCTAATATTCCACTATCTTGTATCTTGTTTACTCGGTGGACAGCATGTTTTCAGCTTCCTACGTACTTAGGTACGCTAGGTAAGCGTTTAATGGTCGTTGCCAAGTTGTCGAGAGAGTCGGTCAAGTACTGGCAAAATATTCACACGCGTTTGCTGCAAGCGGGAAGGAAAGTTGATTTCTAGCGAGAATGCATTTATACTTTGATGCGGTGTAATTATTAACGAGCTATTATTAACATTTGTAATCTCTTTTTACGACTTGCTTTAACAAAACTCACGAGAGCGTGAAATATTGTCTCGAAGCGATCCCGGCCTCGAGATAATTAATACGACCGATGTTGTACGTTGAATCTGCCAGGCCGCGCCTCGCCTCGTCAGGACTGACCAAATTACTCTCAAAATTGGCTTCGCGTGACGCGCCGCATTACGACATTCTGATATAACCCCGTTTGCACCTAACTACATTAAATTCCAAAACAAAATGCGCGAACGAAATTTGCATTTCCCCTCTGGCGCACACATTGGCGCGCGACGCCGTTGGGAGCAACTCCCGGATAAAACGTGTATGACGCGCGCGGCGCGGAAGCGCGGTGCGGTCCAGCAGCGCGGTTCTGCGCGGCATTAAAATTACATTATTTCGCCAGCTTCGAACGTACGCGAAGTATGCACCACGTTGATTATGAGTTTTAATGAATTTCTACGGGATCATTATAAAGCCGCTCTCGGGGCTGTGCGGTCGCACACGTGACCGTTCTCGCTCGCACACGACTGACGGTGCGTCCGCGTGTTTGTGAAACACAGCACGGCGCCCCGTGTGTCACGATGATCCGGCTCGCTCTATCTCTCTCTTACGCGCGCGCGCCCACCATTATTGCCTCGTATACACGCGCGACCGTATTATATTCCCGGGGCTTTTTCACAGATAGAGTTGTACAGGTTAGAGAACTGACAAATGGAGCCGACACGTGTCACGATGCTAATGCGCGGTGAAAAATTATTTCGCAATATCGAACGATGCGACACACCCTTTTGGGTCTCGCTTCGCCTCGCCTCGCCTCGCCTCGCCTCGCCTCGCTTCGCGTTGCCCAAGTCTGTTCTCCTTCGCTATTAAGCAGCAATAAAACAGTCGGAGGTCCTCCCGGGTAAGAAATAAACGATTACTTTTTCACTGCGATCAACGCTCCCTCGACGAAAAGTCTAATGATTTTCGGAGATTATCGGTTTTTTCGCAAAATGTTCATTATTTATGGATGTGAAAGATAACTATCGACATACGTGGGTGAGCGAGGGGAAAAGCTTATTTAGCCAGTTACTGAATGGTAATATTTAATT